TTCTAAAAACAACCCAAGAGCTTTAAAAAAAAACACACCCAGCCGTTTGTTGGAAATACAGTTTGGATAAAAATAAGAGCCCTCTGCACGGAGCCCCACTAAAAACCTCCTGGTTATTCCACCAAATATTGATTTCTGAACTCTTCCTGAGTTAAAACAATAGTGCTGTTGTTTCTAAATGAATATGAAAGAATAATTTTGACCATTTCTCATTTCCTGCAAATCAATACTAAGTTGTTGCTTGGAATTTCAGAGACATGTTGTCAGTAGTTCATGGAATAAGAGAACAATGTTCATTTAACTCAAACATACATACCTGCAAAAAGGTAAAATCAGAGAAACTGATAATTTAAGTGGCCTTTTCATTTTTTCCAGAGGTATAAGTTAATGTTTTCTAGTGTCCGGAGAATGAGACGTTTCAAAAAATCTCTCAGCTGTTAAATCACATTGACAAGTGTTTTGCTGTTGACTTACCATCCAGAAACCATTTCCTACATTTTTGTTAGTTGTGCAGGAGGTTCCACTTCTGCTTTTCTAAGATATACAGTTATATAATTCGTCTGTTTTCAGCCATTGTCATATGGGAGTGCAAACATTGAGTTAGGGGGGCATGGCAGCAGCTGCTTATTTGGATATGAGGTGACAAGATGCTCTAAAACAGCTAAAATTAGGTAGAATTGAGCAGACTATACTCTAATTTTCTAGGAATTATTTTTGGGCAAAAAATTTAATGAACACATTTTGCATACCTATGCTAGCCTGTTCAAGGAAGCATAAATACATGATCTTCATAGTGTTTTTCTGCCGATGAGGGAATTCAGTGGTTTGATTCAGGTGCGTTGCAGCAATGTTGCATGTAAAAGTTGCAGGATCTCATCTGAGGACTAAATTTCCACCAGAGTCATCTGAACAGACGCAAAAACTCCTGTTACAGGACCTGATGATTATCAACAACATTCCTTCTTTTTTTTAAATATTCTTCTATCTAAAAATGTTTGTTAATTAGTAACAATGCTTAGTTGAACCCAAAAGAAGCAGGATATACAAAAAAATAATAATGTTGCTTTTAATGCTACACACAAACTTCCTCCATCTGCAAGCAAAGTTTTTATTTTTCCCCCAGAGTGCCTCCAAGTGCAGTGGCGATTTATTTACTCAAACTTATGACATAACTATAAAATGAAAGTCTGTGATGTTCAGAAAATAAATGTTTTTATGTAATAACCACAATGGAGGGGAAGAAAAACCAACAGACTGGCTTTGTTTTCCTATTTATCTGAATAAAACAACGAATACAAAAGTAAGAACAAACATGCTCTCCTTCAGCGAACATGCATGTTTCAATAAAAAAGGTGTTTTTTTGATGATTTGGTGACTTTATAATGAATAACTGACGGAAAAATCCCAAACTGCAACGCCTTAATAGAGTGAGATGACGCTCGCTGTTCCTCAGACTCTGAGTTGTGTTTTCTTTAATGGTTGTTGTCGGAAGGAAACTTGAGGCAAGAACTGGCAAAACAATTCATGCATGTTTACTTTCTCACGATAAAAGATTTAATTAATTTTAAACGCTGCATTAGACTGCCAATTTTCCTCTTAAAGCTGCAGGAAGGAAGAGTTAGTTGTTCACTCTGAACTCATTTTATCACAATATTCTGTAGAAGGACTGTGACACCAATAAATGTGACATTAATGATTAATACTTATTTTTAGGTAATTCTATGAAGGTGTTTGTCGCATTCATCGCACAAATGCTTCTTCAGGACATCCGTCACATAAATAAATAGGAATTTTATTACTAAACTTCACACAGTAACTGCATTTAATCATATATTTACATCAATTGACAGTGAAACAGTAAAACTAACAATCCTGACAGTTTGGAGAGTATTGGATGATTTTAACCTCCAATTGACTGGAATTTATTGTGGCAACAATAAATCAAAACTTAAGACAATACGATAAATTCCCAGTTCTCCATTTTTAATTTTGACCTCATTTCTCGTAGATAAACAATCACAGAATGGAAAAAGTGATTTTTTTGTACACCTGAGGTTAGTTTTAAATACGTTTAGGAGGTAAAGGTCAAGTTATTTTAATATTCAGCAGCTAATAAATGATCTTTGAGGTTGCTGTCGGCTCTTTGGTCCTTCCTCCGGTTCCCTGGCTCATGCTTATGTCTTTATAAATGTAGTAGTCTGCCCTCGATGCTGCCTGAACCCGAAGTCTATTGTACCTTTAAATTAATAAAAGCCATTAAAGTGAGATGGAAAATGTCCCCCAGTACTCCTGTTGTAAGGCTCTGAGGACAAGAAATACACACAGAAACAAAACTAGAATTTACAGAATGGGGTATTTCATTTTCCCCATAATTGAAATACCCTGAATATCAATGCCTGTGAAGCACCAGTAGCAGCATCTTTCTAAGTAAAACCTGCTTGACAATGCAATCCTTTGTTTGTGATAATAACTACAAAAAAAACTCCCAATTTGCCACCATTTCTGAAACAACTATTCAGTAGGTTGCTTAAAAATTTCACTGGAACCAGCTGGGATAAACTGATGACCCGCTTGCATTGCCTTCATTTCTGCTGCAACGTCCCGTCATGTAAGAATAGACGCACAATTTAGCAATGCTTGTAATGTAATCCATGGGTGGAAGCAGAACATTTTTTTAATTTTTCCCTTTCAAGCTTCTGTGTTTGGTTCAAACGAACTCAGACGTCCTTCAGACAGAAATAACACCAGCGTCTCAGAACAGATGCTCATTGTCTTATAATTTGAGGCCTTAATTGTCTGTTCTTGGCAAGTGGTTTAATCAGTTGTGTCTGGCTGTGCAGTTTAAGACGTTTTTCTGATTAGGCGAAGTAAAAAACAGCATTTTTTCTTTGGCTGCTTTAGCTGAATTTTAGTATCTTGTAAGAAACGAGAAGCCGGCTTTGAAGGAAGTGTGTGATAATTTTAACTCTTATCTCCTTCCTCACATCTTCTCTGTTCTGCCAGCTTTGTTCATTTTCCCGTCCTGCTGTCTTGAGCGCTGCTATTAAGTCACTCAGATGGATTAAGTGTGAGAATTGATCTGGTTTCAGAGTGTGCAACAGCGTTCAGGGCTGATGAGTACTGTCCATTAAAAGAGGTTAACTGGATCGTTTGTATGTACAGAAACGAGCCGAGCAGCTGCTTTCATTCAATCTGGAAAGGGACGATCAACCTTTAATAGCTCAATGGCCGTAAAAGCAGGGGCAGATTGCTCCTTTATGTTGAGAAATAAAATAAAAGCTTTACAAGAAGGACTTTGAAGCAAGATCACTGGATGAAAAAGGTCTTCACACAATTGTTTGGGATGCAAAAATAGAAGTTTTTTACCCAATTAACCAGACTCGAAGATTTTTACCACATGCAAACTCACAGCGAGAAGGAGCCAGTCAGGACACACCTGCCAAATTTTAGAGCACTGATTAACACTAAACAAACTCCAGCTGTTCGATTACTCTGGTTTTTCCTGGTTTCTTTCACTTTCACCAACTTTGAGAAAGCTGTTTCCCTCCTCGCCTGTGGTGGCGCTGCATCAAGAACCACTGAAGGAAGCGACACAAAGATCACAGAAGAACACGTGAACAACCTCCTTCTTCACAAAATGTAAACAAAAAACTCTAAGTAGTGTCAGATTATAGCAGTTGCAGGATTCTTCTTTTATCTTTGGTAGAAAAACTCATTTCTCCAACTGTCTATCGACTTGTGTTTGTTTTGGTTGTATTTACCCAGAATGCCCTGCTTTCAGAGCGGTTTCAGGTCCACTTGGCATTCACATATGTGTGGGCCAGAGTTCACTTCAACTAAACCAAGATCTAACTGGACCAGAGTTTGTTTTTTTAGGTCCAGATCAGCGTTTTACTGTGTATTCATACTGCGCAAACGAACCAAACCTTCTAGACAAACAGACCAGAGTTGGATTAAGGCAGATCAGACAGATTAGGTGGTATGAATGCATCAGTGTCTCTGCTCCAACACAGCTGATTCAAAAGGTCCAACTACCATCTCAGCATGTCGAAGTTCTGCAGAGAGCAGATAAATGAACCACGGAAGGAGCTAAAACATGAACGCATTCCAGGCCTCGACGACTGACTTCGGCTGCAAACAGATGCGCAAATATAAGATCAAACATCTTTGAAAAGCAGAAGTGGAACCTCTTGCAAATAGTTTCCGAATGGTAAGTTAACAATGATAAAAACACATTTGTCTTTTCCAGCAGTCACTGTACAACGCATACATCGGTAAAACCAGCTGACCAAACATGGCGGAGCTCTGTTTGCACTGAGCATCTGAGGCACAGCATTGTTGTTTTATTCAGGAAAAAAAAACAACTCGGGTAGCACTCATTGTTTGAGGAGTGCTGACTTTTCTTTTCACTGTTGCAGGCAGCAGATACATTTTTCTGGTTACAATAGGTATCAGTGGAGAAAAAGTTGCAGTGGTGCATTCCTGAGAAACAAATAAAAAAAAAGAAACCCATACAACCTCGGCTGCCTCAGCGGAGCAACTGAAGCGGAAAGGAGAACAGAAGATTTTAAGCTGAAGCCTTCAAACATTCAGTCCCATTTCATCTACAGGCCTGTAAAGAGTGAAGCTAATGTTTATGGACAGCTGCTGCTGATGGAGGCGTTAGTGTCTTTAGCCTGGAAACTGATAAAAACGTTGCACGCTGAGGGAAGTGTGTGGCTCACACCTGCACAATGGAGATGTGCGACTAGAATAAGAAGTCTAAACAGAGCTGTGGGAGGAGGTGGAGGTGTAGCGCGAGGTCAGCGGCGGGGGAAGAGGGAGCGGCAAAGTGATTGGCAAAGTGAAAATAGGAAAGGATCAGGTTGTCTGACGGCTAATGGAAGCTGTGTGAGAAAGGTGGGCTAATAAAACGAAGCAAGGCTCCCGCAATTAGGTTGATATTAAAGATCACTCAGAGCAAATTGAGAGAACAAGAAGTGAAATGGTAGTTAATCTACCTGTCCCAGGATGGGGCCCAGCGGGGGGCCGGGAGCCGCCTGTCCTGACCTCACGATGGCCCGGATTACATTGCCTGTGTCCACTTTCTTCACCACCTTCGCCGCCTTGGAGATCTTTGACATCCTGGTCTGTTTGGAAAACCTCAAATCTGCTTCAGAGTCAACAAAGAATCCATCCACTGGAAACACAGAAAAACAAAGGAAAAAAAAAACAAATTAGTCTTCTAAGCGAACACGATTGCAACAAATCATTCACAAGGCTGCCTCATTAAAACATCATACACTCAAGTCAATATGAATACCCACAGGCAGAGCCAGAGCTTTTCTACTCTGCGTCAGGCGAGTAATTAGAAAAATCTTTGCCTTCGATTGTCAAAGAAAAAGCAGCTTTCCTGGAGCTGTTGGCAGCGCAGATCAGCTGCCGAGGGAAAAACTCGCTGCCTTTAACTACAGACAAGGTAGAAAGAAAGTACACCTTTCTGTGAATATATTAAGACTTTATTCTAAATTTACCTTTAAATACACAAAACAGATTCCACGCTCTCATTAGTTATCAAATGAAAATTAAATTAAGTATAGAAAAGGCATTTGCGTAAAATTGAAAGTAGAACAGGTAAGAGTTTTAACACCATGCCAAGATGGAAAGGCATCAGCAATGATCTTCAAAAGAGGGTAAAAAAAAAGGTTTGTTAGCTTTACATACTAAAAATTAAAAATTTGTTTTGGTCAACAACTGGCTAAGGAATGCCATCACTGGTCGCATCACTGGAGACGATCCCACCATTTGTAAAAACTCGCAACAGTGACTGAACATATTCAGAGCTTTAGGGGAAATGGAGAAACTGAAATCAACATCAGGGCCCAACGTCGAGGCAGACGAGAAATGAGAAGACATTCAAACCGCTGTCCCAAAGAAGAGCAAAGTAATGACAAGAGAAGCTCAAAAATCTGAAAAACGAGTTACGAATAGCTATAAAGAATAGCTAGGAACCAAACAACTGGTTGATGGTTAAACTGGTCTTCAACAAGCCCTATTTGGTTTAGAAATGAACAGTAGAGTGGCTGTGATTCGGCTACTGATGGATAATAGTGAGTATACAAAACTCATACTCAAGTAAGAGTAGTAGTACTATAACATATTTTTTCTCAAGTAAAAGTCAAAGTAATCATCCAAGAAATTACTCGAGTAAGAGTGAAAAAATTTATTTGGTATAAAGCCTACTCAAATACCGAGTAAATTATTAAAACGCCATTTATTATTCTTCCAAAAAAAAAAAACAATCACACCGATCAAAATGTAAAGTTTACATTTTGCATTTCAAAGATCAAATTGAAAATAATTCATATAAATACCACATTTATGAAATAAATGAAAAAAATTTCCAGATAATTTTTAAACAAAATTGCAGGCATGTGTCTGGTTAAATTGCTCTTCATTCAACAAAGTTACTCACATTTTACTCAAGAATAGCAATATTTGGTGAAAATGTTACTCAAGTAACAGCAACGTTTTCTAAAAATTAAAACACTCTTAAAAATTCCTAGTAAATGTTATTAGTTACAACCAAACTCATCCCGTCACTGGGAAGCAAAAGTTTTCCATTTTTAGTTTGACGGCTGAACTGCAGAGCGTCGAGAACCAGATAAATGGAGAGACGCTCATGTCAGGCCTCCACATGGACAGAAAGACAAGTCGCTTTTCCTCTCCACCTTAAACGCATTTGTGAAATTAGGAGCCAATTAGCAGAGAGGAGGGAAAGGCCTGAACTTAGAGCCTTTCTCTGGGGAGGCAGAGGACATAAAAGCAGGCATATAATATGCCACAGGAATAAAGTGATACCACTACACAGCCGTAAAAAACGGACAGGAAGAAGAAGAGGAAAGAAAGATCAATGCCTGGAGCCAAGGGAAAGAGACAAGTTTTAAAACACAGCTTTGAGTTTCAGGGGAACCATGCATTCAATAAAATAAGTGCCTGAGAGCGGAGAGGAGGTCCGGCAATGATTCATCGTCGGCAACAGAGGGTATCCAATTAGATCAACAGAAGAGACATGACCATAAAGCTGTACGGCGCCTCATTCGGCTCTGAAGCAACTCCAAAGAAAAGACGTGATTTTATCTGAACTGATGATTATCGGGCGGCCGTTAAGGTGCAGCCACCATGAGAAAATATTTGTAAGGGCATTAAGGTTGGAGCTGGTTCTGCAGAGAGAGTCCCAAATAAAACCCATTTAGTCTGGATTCTCTGAATAACAATCTCAACGTGACGCGCACACACTGCTGCTTCCCCAAGGTCAATTTCACGCTACTCACCTCATGTGTTCAGCTGTTGCACTGTGGAGAAATTACGTGAGAGTTGGGTCCATTTTGCAGAGCCCAATTGCATTAAATCTGAAGTTAGAAAAGCCACTTTTGCAATCAAATACGAAGAAAACTCAATAAATCTTACAGAAACCGCAGCTTGAAGGTAAAATTAAAGGCTTTTAAACTGAAAATGGGCCGTCCAGGGATGAATCTTAACAAGATTTTTGAGGCTGAAAAACAGTACGGACTGACATCAAATGCCCATTTTAATTTCAATTTAGAGAAAGAATACCACTTCTGCGAGGAGGGGAAGCGACAGAGTCATGCTTTAATGCACCGAATCTCCAATCTCTGTTGGAGTATGAATAATAAAACCGCAGTTCCCTTTTCCACAAAACCAAATCACTCATCACACGCCGCCGAAGAAGAATTGACCTACATAAGGCGTCAAAACGGCACTCGCTGAGCGTTTCGCCCAGCTAAATTTATATTAGAGGCAGAGCAGGCAACAGGAGCAGTGAGTGTGGCTGAATGCTGCACGATGGAGGCTCGGTCAGAGCTGAGTTAATGCTCTGCAGCGAGTAATCAAATCAAAGCTGCGCTAATGTGGAGGAACAGACACATTTCTGGGCCCCTCTTTAAGCATTTCATGCTAACAGCATTAACACGGAAAACACAGGAAGAGTAATTAGTTTGAGATGAGGAGAGCACTACTGGAAAGCAATTTGTTAAAGCACAACGTCTGATAATAAACCGCACCGCAGAGAGAGCCTGGGATTCAAGGTCTACCTGGAAAAGTCTGGAAAAAGAACAATGAAAGAGAAAATGTTATTATTTCCAGATTTAATTAATTATCCAGACGGTTAAATGTTGGAGCCATCCAACCGTCCATCCAACCGTCTGCCCAACCGTCCATCCAACCATCCAACCGACCGTCCAACCGTCCATCCAACCATCCAACCTACCGTCCAACCATCCATCCAACCATCCAACCGACCGTCCAACCGTCCATCCAACTGTCTGTCCAACCGTCCATCCAACCAACCATCCAACCTTCTGTCCAACCGTCCATCCAACCATCCAACCGTCTGTCCAACCATTCAACCGTCTGTCCAACCATTCAACCGTCCATCCAACCATTCAACCGTCCATCCAACCATTCAACCGTCCATCCAACCATTCAACCGTCCATCCAACCATTCAACCGTCCATCCAACCATTCAACCGTCCATCCAACCATTCAACCATCCATCCAACCATTCAACCGTCTGCCCAACCATCCAACAGTCCGTCCTTTCGACCATCTATCCTTCCATCCTGTACTGTTTTACAGTTTCCATTAATTCAAATCTTTATTTCTATAAAAAGCTAAATTTGGATCTTTGAAAATGTTAGTCCAAAAAAATCTGGACTTTGACCATCAACATTTTCAATTTAATTTGAAAATATTAAATCTGAACTACAAAATCCAACATTTCAGAGAGAATCTGTGACGTTCCAGACTCCATCAAAGCCTGTCTGAAAACCATCACAGGTGTGAAAAAAAGGTTTTTGACAAGAGGTAAACATGTCAGTAAACATGTCAGCACTGGGGTAAGAAACCAAAGAAATCCCAGCTGTCATGGAGAACGTGCAGGTTTGCAGAAACCATCTATACTTCACAGGCATAAACACGTCATATTTTATCACCTGAACCTCAGAAACGTCTGTAGGTTGTCACAGAACAGGCAGCCGACGCCATCGTGTTGCAGCATAATTAAAACCGAGCGCATCTCAAGGATAAAGCAGACATTGACCGAAGAAATTAATCTGTTTGCAATAAAGACGGCATGCTTTATTGCACTGGGGAAGCCCACTGCTGCTTGCTGCTCAAGCTATTAGCTTCACTTTGTTCCTAATTAGTGAGGAAAGTCGAACTGCAGCCACCATCAATGACGCCTCTAAATCTTTTATTTAAAAGTCAAGGTTGCAGATATTGAACCTCAATAAAATGTCATTTTTGAAAAATGAACAAATTGGTCTTTGAGACTTCTCTCCGGGTTGAAAGTCCCAGACTACGCTCAATATAAATGACACTGGTATTATATCAGCCTTGGGGAAATTAAGTCTTCTCCTCTCTATCTTTCATATCTTTTTGCTGCAGTCTGATGAAATAAAAGCAGAATAGTAATTAAGTTTCTCAGTGGGATCAGCCTTTGTATGTGCAACAACGAGAAACCGGTTCAGTGACCTTTGTTACGCCTCTGTGTTGCTGCTAAATTTAAATGCAAAACAGGGGGAAAATACGACGTCCAGATCATGTTCAGCCAGTAAATTTCAGACTACGACCAATAATATAACATTAAAGTGTTGGTAAGTTTATTTTATTTGTATATGTTGATAAACTTAGCTCTATATGCTAACAGAGCACTCCGAACTGGTAAAGCTGTTAAAAACCTTGAATTTTCAGTACATTTATTGAGTAAAGAACAAAAAGATGATGTGTTTTTTTCATTTATAATACACATAACTGTGTCACAACTATTGGTAACCTTTACAATAAATAAGGCAAGCATTTTTAGTTATTTTACACCTGCTTACTTTGATTAAAGGTTTTGAAATTCAGTTGCAGCAGCAGCAACTTAAAGGTAAATTTATTTATTTTCTTTTAAATGTCATGCAGCCCTGTTGTACCGTTATTAAAATTATTCAACAATATCTCGCACATTAAGTGTTATCTTTGCCAAACAAGATTAAATTTGTATTATTGTATATATTGTAGAACATAAATTTTTTTGGCGTCTTAATATAAATTACAGGTTGTCTTTTTCTGTTTTTAATTATGCGAGTGGAGTAAAAAAATTTCATCATGTAGTGGGATGCTGTGTGAGTCTGA